GGGTGATCCCGCTGCAAATCTCACCGCCGCCGCCGCCGGGCTCGCCAATCCGCCGGTTTGCTATCCGGGGTGGATCCCGCTGCCAATGTCGCCGCAGCCGGGCCCACCAATCCGCCGGTTGGTTCCCCGGGGTGATCCCGGTGCGAGTGTCACCGCCGACGCCGCCGCCGCCGGGCTCACCAATCCGCCGGTTGGCTCTCCGGGATGAATCCCGCCGCCAATGTCTGACCGATGGGCCGACCGCCGCTGGCTCCCCTGTGCGAACCCAGACATCGGCGTCGTATCAATGGGTCAGCCGCCGCCGGAGCCCCAATTGAAAGGAACGCTGGCTGCCGCTCGCTCGCTCGCTCCCGATGACTGTCGCTCCGCTACTTCCGCTCCTTCCGCTCTGTATTTATAGAGCACTTTCAAACAGCCATCGCTGCATACAAAGTGCTGTACATGGAGCAATTTAACATATACAACAAACAGTAAAACAAATCGGTAATAAATACGGTAGAAAGCAACTAAGGTGCTGACTGTCCAAAATACATATTTCTTCAGTTCAAGGTGCAGTTCTCCTTGCAGCATCTAGTATCAGTGTTCTCTCTACTTTGGATGCTGGTGTAGCTGGCATTGTCATTTCCATCCTGGCTGGTGTCAGGATATTGGCCACCATAAAAATCTCAACAAGTCAATGTGTTCATCAGCAATCTTGACCCGGCGGAACATGGGTTGAACATCGGCCACACCTGCTCTCGGTTCAAGTTGGATTTATTTTTATTGATGCAGGGAAGTCCTTTGAGATGACATGTTCATTTGCAGTGGCGATCTGGCAGTGTACAGCAGAGTAAAACAGAGCAATATGAACGCAAAGACAAATATATGGAGTTGTTTTATTTAATTCAGAATCACAAATGCAGTTTTCCATCAAACTTGGTTTCTCCGCAGTCTATTCTAATCAGTGCTTTTTTTATGTGACATTCGGCAAAGCGGATACATTGCTGCAATGATTTAGTGGTGCTAACTGTCAACACTTGTCCACAAGAGGTCTTGAAAGTGATTCTGGCAGAACCTACACGTGTATACCTTGATTGATAGTAATGAGCAAGCATCTTCAAGTCGCAAAATATGCCTCCGTATTAATAAATTGCAGTCTCATGGCAAAATTCTTCATCGAATGGGTGCATTCGTGTTGGCTGCTAAGCACAGATGTGACGTTACGATCTTGCGTCCGCTCATTATTTTATACATTTGGTTTTTGGGTTACAGTTTGCCTATGTGTTTTGTTTATGTGTCTGCTGAGCAGCTTGATGTGCGCACCATCGTGCTTCCAGCAAAAGTTACTTTGCAATGCTCCATGCTGTGTTGATGCGACCTTTTACCCTCAGCACAGCATCTGCCATTTCTCTCTCACCTGCTCATGCACACTCAGCACAAGCAGATCCTCATGAAGACTCGGACACACTTTATAATTTGCAGTTATTCATTTTACCAACTTTTACCTCAACTATGACTGGTTAAGGTAGCACTGTCACAAAAGCAAGTCTTTAGTGAAACAATGAAAAACTGCAGTCAAACAATATGAAAGCGTGGGAATGAAAATTCCCTCACAATCTCTCCATTCATAACATTACCTTTATTTTTACACTATTGAAATCAAGTCATACAAACACAAAGGGAAAATAAACCAAAACAAAATGTTTCCTTAACAATAAAAATGTTTAAAAACCAACAAACACACTCTGAAAATTTTAGTAAAACTAAATTTCAAAACCAACACTCAAAATGGAAACCGTTACAATAAAAGACGACAACTCACAATATTTTCAAACCAAAAAGATGAGCATTCATTCATTCATTCATTTTCCGATCTGCTCAATCCTCACAAGGGTCGCGGGGGGTGCTGGAGCCTATCCCAGCTGTCTTTGGGCAGTAGGCGGGGGACACACTGAACTGGTTGCCAGCCAATCGCAGGGCACACATAGATGAACAACCATTCGCGCTCACAGTCACACTTCGGGACAATTTAGAGTGCTCCATTCACCTGCCATGCATGTTTTTGGAATGTGGGAGGAAACCGGAGTACCCGGGGAAAACTTACGCATGCACGCGCAGAACATGCAAACTCCACACAGGAGTCTGGCATGCATGTGTAATGCTGCTCAAATGCTTTCTTGTTATTTCAGCTTCTCTCACGGTGTCCCCTGTGTGCGCTGAATACAAGCCAACGCAGCCCAACCACAAGCTGTGCATGTCCCAGGACTCCATAACAAGATGTAGTGTGAACATGAAAGAGCTCTATAGTTGGGCAGCTTCACCAGACTTTGGGTCAATTAAAAAAAAACAAAAAAATCATTGCAGTGGAAGAGCAGGTTGTGGCTTTTTTCGTTTAGTTGCAGGTCGACTTCTCTCTGCTTCAGCCTGCATCTTTTAGACAAACTATGTGAGTTGCGTTAGCAATCTCAAGGCTCCTCACCACGGGCCGGTGCCTCATGGCTAATAATAACATTCATAAAGCTAACCGTGGGCCCACAGCTAACAACAAAACAAACAACATTGACTCAGCATAAAGCCAATCGCGGAATAATTCTGGCCATCAGCCAGACTCACATCATTAATTGGTTGAATACAATAAGGCCAAGGATGAACGAGAGCTTTGCTTACCTGTTGGAATTCGTAATGAAGGCCAGGGTGCTGGTCATTGAGGTGTTTTGTAAAAATCGTCGCGTCGCTTCACTTGGCCGCCACCGTTTTGAAGCACTGTTTGTACACAGTCAGTCAAGGTCTTTTGGTTTGCCATGTTCGTTTGCCTCATATGCAAAATACTCCCATATTAGGCTTTTATCTTTTTCATACTCAATCAAGACTGGCTGGTTTTGCCGACAGAGAACAAAATACTTCAAAATACTTAAAGGGCTCCAAAACCTACATTAACGAAGACTTTACGGAGGCCGTGCATCAAAAAAAGAAATGAACTCCTCCCAAAATAAAAAGCTGCACGTGACAGAGGGGAAATTGCCTACTTTGAGGCATGACAAACTGATCGTCTACCCCCGCAACAGTACTCCAACACAACAGGCTCGAGTTCAACATCATCAAGTAGCACGCTGAGAACTGTTCACCACCTGACAAAAAACTCTCGACTGAAATAGGAAATTCAAATACCAAAAAGATGGACTTCCAAACTTTGACCACAGGCCATTCGACCCTGAGAACAATTTGGGCCCAGACAATCATTTCTTCAATAATAATCACAGCATTACAAACTCTGAGCGTTACATGGACGGACAATTCAACACAACTATAGAACTGGAAAATGCACTTTCAGTAATACACTTGAAGAGTAGAAGTATCAATAAAAACTTCACAAAAATCAAAGAATACTTGACTAAATTCAATAAATTTAAAATAATTGCCATATCAGAAACTTGGCTTGACGATGAAAAAAAAAAACAATGAAATGAAAATAGATGGATCTGAAATGTTTGCAACAAATAGGGAAAACAAAAAATGAGGGGGGTTGCAATATATGTAGACAAAGCTCTTAAATGCAGTAACAGTGAGAGATTGACAAGCACAATAGAGAACTTGGCTAACTATTGAAATAGATAATAAAAAGGCATCAAATGTCATCATAAAATGTATCTATAGAACACCAGGATCGTGTCTTGATGCATTCAATAAAAAACTAACAGATATGCTAAGCTACTCCAACGATCAGAAAACACGAATAATGTGTGGTGACTTTAACATTGACTTATTAAACCCAAAAGAACATAAAAAAAAAAGACTTTATAAATACAATGTATAGCAACAGCCTTTCCCCAGTAATCCTGAAACCTAGTAGAGTAACAGCTGGTACGGCCACATTAATAGAAAACATATTTATTAATAAGATTGACCATAAAATGGAAAGTGGACTTCTCATTAATGATATAAGTGACCATCTACCTGTCTTTGCAGTTTTCCATCGTTATTTTGATAGAAAAATAAAACCAGCAGCTCACATATCAGAAATAAGACTAAGAACACAAAGCTCCATCGCTGCTTTTAAGCTTGACCTAGAAAAACAAAACTAGTCCGAGGTCTACTCAAACGAAGACGCAAATACTGCATATGAAGCATTTCAGTCTCTCATAATCTCCTGATATGATAAACATTTTCCATTAACTCAAGTCTCCAGAAAGTACAAAAACCCAAGTGTAGATCTGTTTATTATTGTTTTGTTGTACAGCCATTTTAACCTGCTGTCATACCTCCCGTCCAGAAGGTGTCGTAAGAGTTCTATTGTTGATTGCTACACGAGTAAGCCTGTAACACGTTCTTGGTGCTGCTGGAGTAAAACTATTTTCAAGCACCTAAACGGACTGGTTTCTTCATATCAAAACTACACCAAGTAAGCCATGGATAACAAAAGGTATGGAAAACGCATGTAACTAATAATAAGATATCCTTTATTTGTCCCACACTGGGGAAATTTACAGTCTACAGCAGCAAGATTGTGGGTAGAAAGAAGAAATAAGAAAAACAAAGTGTTTGCATTCACAAAATAAACGTTAGTTTCAATGTACACCTTTCAATTAAGTGCAATATAAATATAGATATAGATAACACATTTTATTTTTTATTGAGCTGCCTGACAGCAGTCGGTAGGAACGAGCGGCGGTATCTCTCCTTCTTGCAGTGCGGGTGTAACAGTCTCTGGCTGAAGGAGCTACCTAGTGCTGTCAGGGCGGGCTGGAGGATGTGGGAGGGACTGTCCATCATAGCTTTTAGCTTAGCTAGCATCCTCCTGTTGCCCACCTCCTCTAGAGTGTCTAGGGAGCAGCCCAGGACAGAACTGGCCATCCTGACCAGTCGCTCCAGTCTCTTTCTGTCCCGGGCCGAGATGCTGCCTGACCAGCAGACAATGCCATAATGGATGGCTGAAGCCACCACCGAGTTATAGAAAGTTTAAGGAGTGACCCCTGAACCCCAAAAGACCTCAGTTTCCTGAGTAGGAAGAGTCGGCTCTGTCCTTTCCTCATCAGGGTGTCTGTGTTTGTAGACCAGTCCAGTTTATTGTTTAGAAGAACACCTAGGTACTTGTAGGAGGTCACCATCTCTATGTCCATACCCCGGATGTTCATCAGTGCAGGCTGGCGCTAATATTGAGTCACTGGTTGCCATGACAATGAAAATCTAATTTATTTGATGTTGTTGATTTCTAAAAGTGCTTTATGTTTCTATGTGAACCTTCATATTTGTTTTTTCTTTAAATCCTCTTAATACGTTATTTGGCATGTTTTGTCAAGGATCACTTCCGGGTCACGTGTCGCAGATAGCGAGGAATTAGAAAGAAAGATCAAGAAGACAAATTGCGAGAGAGAGAGAGAGAGAGAGAGAGAGAGAGAGAGAGAGAGAGAGAGAGAGAGAGAGAGAGAGAAAGAAAGAGAAAGAAAGAAAGAAAGAAAGAAAGAAAGAAAGAAAGAAAGAAAGAAAGAAACGATGCCGTCTGGTCAACGTTATTTCAGTTTATCTACTTTCGGTTTAACAAGGTGCACACAGTATGTATCTGTTTTTGCTTATTTACTTAAGACCTTGCCAAAGAGATTATTGTAATGTTGATTGTTGTTTGAAATGTGTTTTAGTTTTCATGGTGTTCCACAAAATAAACGTTTTTGGACATCAGTTCGAGGCGTCGTCCTTGACCGGGGTAGATACAACGCATATGAAAAGAAAAACTATTTATATAAATCGTTTATCAAATTGAGAACTAACGATGCTGAAATAAAGTAAAAGACCAATAAAAATAAATTAGGAAATATTATAAGAACTAGTCATAGAGATCATTATCATGCATTATTAGAGCAGAATAAAAGCAACACACAAGAAATATGGAAAATACTAAATCACGTAATCAGAAATAGTCCTAAAAAAGTAGATTATCCAGAGTATTTTATTGAAGACAAAAAAAATATTGAAAAAAACTGCAGAAATAGCAATTTGTGTTCCTGTTGTTGCTGCATGAGCGCTGTAAAAAGCTCTTTTTGTTGCAGGAATAGTTCATTGACTTGCGTGAGGGCCATCAATTCTTCATCCTGCTTTGCATCATGTTTCTGTTTAGGCGGCATCTTTCGGGTTTTGTTGCTAGCCGGCTGTCAGCTAGTTGTGTTGGATGTTGAAGACGTGGCAGTGGGTTTGTAGCTTCCCCGGGCAATACAGCCGCGGTAGTCGAGTGAATTTTTCAGGCGCTGCGGCCGGGTTCACTGTTCGGTTGGTTGGTTTTAAGTGGTGGCTCTAGCTGCTTGTGCCGGACCCAAAGGGTCGACCGCCGCTGGAGTTCCGAACAAGTCCTCTCGTTCGCTCACGCTGGTTGGCTCTCGCTAGCTCACGCTTCCTCGGTGGTCGAGTGAGTTCAGCCGCCGCTGCTGCTGCCGGGTTCACTGATCATCCGGTTGGTTTTTCAGATGTGGATTGAATTTAATGAGTATTTTGTTAATACAGTGAAACTCCTCTAGAACGAAACCTACATGGGCGAAAATACCCCCTAATGTGAAAAAATCTTAATGCATTAACACCATTCCCATTCTCCTGCCCCCCATACGATGAAAAAAAACCCTGTTGCGTTATGCGAAATCATTTTCTCTGCTCTTGCCTCGCGAAGAGATTCACTACAATGAAGTCTAATCCAACAGCGACCTCTACTGCTTCGTTCGGAAACGGCAACAGCAACCACCACACTGGTTTACATAGTGAACGATGTTTATTTCGGTCACAGCTCCGAGTTTCCTGAACGCAACATACTCATAGCTGCTCTCAGTTGGTGTTCAAATATCTGTTGCTTAATTGGATACCACCCCAGAAGACTGATGCTATCCGTTAGCCCGTCTGTAGCGTTTCACATTACGCGCTTGCTCGCGGACTTGAAGGCAAAGATGTGTCATTTTAGTTACTCAACTTGTAATGGCAATAAACAAGAATCCTATACGATTTGCCAAACTATCTGCCGGCTTTGAAGTGAACCGCCAAGAAAATGACCATTCGATTCTTTTTCAAAATCGTTCAGCCCAGAAACAGAACACCAGATAAACGGTTTTCATTTGTGCGGTGAAAATCCATTCCAGAAGTCATTACAGCGACACTGAACACAACAACAACAATAACAACAACAAAAATTAACACCCATCATCAAATAAATAAACCCCTACAAGGCAAGCACAATGGCTCCTGATAAAGATCTAATGTGATTTCACACTACTTGAACATAGATTTAATTTTACTGGCCTCCGGACTTTGAGAAACATCCGCACTGAGTTGGAGGGAGAGAACGTGAAGAAGTGTGTGTGTGTGTGTGTGTGTGTGTGTGTGTGTGCTTACATCTGAGATCAAATTTGCTAACATGATTTCGTTTTAGAGGAATTTCACTGTAGTACGTTCTTCTTTCAGAAGGATGCAATGGCAAATCTTGACCAGCAGACAGCAGTGATCGAAATGGCCATGCACGTCCAAATAGGTCTCTCTTGTGGGGTCAAAACAAATGATTTGGGTTTCTTTCAGAAGGCTGCAATGACAAACGGTGAACAGCAGACGGCAGAGCACGGATGTTTTCTCGATGATCATTTCCGGTTCAGGGTAACATGTGGCGGATTGTGAGGGAATAAGCGAGGGAGAGAGATCCAGAAAGAAAGATAGCGAGGGAGAGACCAAACGTGACTGTCTGATCGACTTTATTTTAGTTTATCTACTTTCGGTTGAACAAGGTGCACACGGTATGTTATTTCTGCTGATTTGTTTCATATCTTGTTCAACAGATTATTGATTGTTGTTGTTGAAATGTATTTTTAGTTTTCACAGTGTTCCACGAATAAACGTTTTTGGACGTCAGTTCGAGGCGTCGTCCTTGACCGGGTTCGATACATAGGGTAATAAGAAATAATCTCAGGTGTGCGGGTCTTTCGTCTCTGCAAAAAAGGAGGAGTGAACGAAATGCAACAAATTCGCCCGACCACTCCCCGCGACCCGGAAGTGCCCTGTCACCGATAAAGGCGGAAATTTTCAAGTCTTCCTCCGCTTACGGCAATACTACCCTGAGAATGCCCGATCTTGGAAGCTAAGCAGGGTCGGGCCTGAATAGTACTTGGATGGGAGACCGCCTGGGAATACCAGATGCTGTAAGCTTTTGCACACATGAACACTCTTTCACGTTATTTTGCGCTTTCTTTTCTGATTTTTTTACCTCAGCCTTAACTGGGAGACCCACAACATTAGGCTGACATTTATAAGTCTCTAATTGATGTGTTGCACCTCCGCTGGAAAAGCCAACTTTCAAAACGGACATCAAGTACGGCAACTGGGTGCTCGCAGCGGACCGTCGGCGAGCCTGACAGGCTGAGCGCTCAATCCGCCAAGAGTGCGCGTCCCTCGTCCGTGTAAAAAGGGAGGAGGGAACGAAATGCAACAAATTCGCCCCGCCACTCCCCGCGACCTGGAAGTGCCCCGTCACCTATAAAGGGGGGAATTTTCACGTCTTCCTCTGCTTACGGCCATACCCTGAGAACGCCCGATCTCGTCCGATCTCAGAAGCTAAGTGTCGTAATGTGGGTAAATAAGATGCAGTCGGTTTCAAGCAAGGAAGAGTTTATTATCGACCGAGCTCTAGCAGTAGTCGCACACACGTCTGCCTAGGCCTCATAAGCTAACGACATTTGGGCCAGCATACATACATACGTGAACAGACGTCTCTGTGGAGGAAAATATTGTTAACAACAGAATTCTGGATATTCAACAATCCTTCTTTTTTACAACTTTGGATATTCAACAGTCCTTCTTTTTCACAACTTATATATATATATATATATTTTTTTTTCTCACAATCATTTTTTTTCTCTCCCCACCCCACAGTTCACAAGTCCAGTCTGTGAGGTTTTCTCACCACTCTGCCACCCCTAGTGGTATGATCCTGTGTGTGCATGGACGGGTGTGTGACAGATGGTTGTGTGTCCCTCGGGAGCCGGAGTTGGACATGATACGGGGCGTTCTGGAGAATCCACTGTAGGCTCACTTGGTTGTGGTGCAGTGCTGGATGTCGGTGTGTGAGGTGTGTGTAGGACAGTCTCTGGAAAAGGGACAAGATGGTGTCTATTCATCCTGAGGGTGCCTGAAGGGCTCTTCACGACGTATGAATGTGGGGCCGAGTGTGAGGAAACCACTGTGCCTTGAGACTTTGCATCAGTGATCCACACTGGTTGTCCTGGAGTGAGTTGACTCAGATCTCTCACACGGTGTCTGTTGTTGAAACTTTCAGTGTCTTTACCGCTCTTCTCCCTTTCTTTTGCTGCAACAACAGTGCCGTCCGAAAGCTCTGGGTCGAGAAGA